GACAGGCCCAGCCCGAGATAGGGCAGTTCCCAGAGGGTGGGTTCCTGAGCCGGCTGCCTGGGTTCAAGTCCCCGCTCCAGGGCTTACTCGTTACAGTGAGCAAACTGATAACACAYCCCCACCCCCACCCCGCCCTCGGCTTCCCTCCTCAGCAATCAAGCAGGGCCCACGATGGCCCGGGACCTCCCCCTGGACCAGCGCCCCTTAGTGCAAGAGGCTGAGCCCACAGGCTCCCTGAGGTCCTGGGTGTGCAGCAGGTGAGACCACAGTGYATGGGTCTCAGGCAGAGGCCTCCTGAGAGAGGAGGAGGGCACCCCTCGCCCTGCACAGCAGTCCCCTTCCTTAACTGRAGGCCAGTCTGCCTCTGTGTGTTTCCTCATGCCAAATGCACCAGCCGAGTWAACGGGAAAGCACTCCCGTGCCTCCATCAGACACGAGTCGGGAAGGAACGGGGTTCTGCCGTCCAAGGAGTTGAGACAATACTATGTATTTTTTGTCCCTCTTTTGGAGAATCACACAGGGGATTTATTAGCATGGTTGAGTAAAGGGACCTCTCTCATGCCGCTGAACCCTGGGTTTCACCGACTTTTCATGAACTCAGAACCCTCTTCTCTGGCTACTCGTATTGCCAAGATTGCCAGCGGGTGGGACAGGGTTCCACGGAACACTGGTATGGGAAACGCTGGACTGCCAGGCTACTTTGGTTGGCCCAGGGCATCTCCAGGTCAGCTGGCTTCCAGAGAGTCACACCTGAGCAGAGGGCACTGCCTGGATGTACTGAAGGCTGAACTAGATGGGGACAGGTTCCCCTTTGCAGGGGGGCTCTCTGCAGGGAGAGGGCCGGGCTCAGGGCTCAGCAAAGAAAGAGGTCACCCAGGCTGAGGCCCCCGAGGAGGGGTCAGGGTTGGAAGAGAGAGAGGGCAGCAGGTCCCAACCCCGCACGTCTTCACTCTTTACGACCCTGAGAGGAGTGAGCGGCCCCTGGACCCACCTTGGCTGCCTTATGGGTAGAGCTGGGTTCTGGCTTCACCACCTGAGCCCACTTCCAGCTCTGCTCTGACTGGTGTAGTCTTCTCTACCCCTCTCCACCTCAGTTTCCCTCATCTGTAAAATGGGGACGRTATCAGACCCCAGCTCTCTCCAGGGTAGAAGGAGTGGAACACGTAGAGGACGGTGATGTCCACGCCGCGTCCCTCGGACAGCCTCCCAGTGAGTATCCGCAAATGTGGGAAATGACTCTTCTCGTCTCCCTGCAGTGGCTTCTGACACGTGGGTCCACCATGAACTGGGGGATCTTCGAGGGAATCCTGAGCGGGGTCAACAAGTACTCCACAGCCTTTGGGCGCATCTGGCTGTCCCTGGTCTTCATCTTCCGCCTGCTGGTCTACCTGGTGACGGCCGAGCGCGTGTGGAGTGATGACCACAAGGACTTCGACTGCAACACCCGCCAGCCCGGCTGCTCCAACGTCTGCTTCGACCAGTTCTTCCCCGTGTCCCACGTGCGCCTCTGGGCCCTGCAGCTCATCCTGGTCACCTGCCCCTCGCTGCTCGTGGTCATGCACGTGGCCTACCGMGAGGCCCGGGAGAAGAAGCACCGGGAGACAGCTGGGGGGGGCGGCGGGCGCCTCTACCTGAACCCCGGCAAGAAGCRGGGCGGGCTGTGGTGGACCTACGTCTGCAGCCTGGTGTTCAAGGCCGGCGTGGACGCCGCCTTCCTCTACGTGTTCCACTCCTTCTACCCCCAATACACCCTCCCTCCCGTGGTCAAGTGCCACGCGGCCCCCTGTCCCAACACAGTGGACTGCTTCATCTCCAAGCCCTCGGAGAAGAACATCTTCACTTTCTTCATGGTGGCCACGGCCGTCGTCTGCATCYTGCTCAATCTCGTGGAGCTGGCCTACCTGGTGAGCAAGAGGTGTCGTGAGTGCCTGGCAGCACGCAGAGCAAGGGCCACACACGAGGGACATCACCCGGACTGTGTCACCTCGAAGGACCTCCTCTCGGACGACCTCATCTATCTGGGCTCAGACCCTCACCCCCTTCTCTTGCCAGACCACCCCCAAGACTACGCGAAGAAAACCATCCTGTGAGGGACGGGCTGGACGGGACTGGCGGGGAGCCCTGGGTCGGAAAGTTCCAGCATCTCTCATCGATGGGGGCAAAGGGAGGATTCAGAAGGCCTGGGATCCGGTCCCTACCCCTCAACTCTGGCCACTGCTCCAGCAGTTGGCCTTAGGCACATCTAAAGATCCTGAGGGCCACCTCCCAGGACCATAGTGAGGAGGGGTATCAAAGGAGATCAGACGGGCCAGCCACCCCCCCCATGCGCATGGCCCACCAACAAGGCTTAATAAAGGTYAATGCATTCATTGATTCAAGGTACCCTTGGTCATTTGGGCTTTGTCACCCTCACCAGGTCACTGTCTCAATCTCTGGGATGCACTTGACTGGGTCAGATGAGGAGCCATCCTCTCCTCCAGAGAAGGGGTGCTCCGGCTCTGCTGGAGACCAAGCCACGTGCTCATGCTCAAGGCTGGCCCTCAGCCCTCGAGGGTTGTCTACGGAGGTCATGGAGCTCAGCGTGGGGGTGGCTGTGCTGCAATGGGAAGTCCCCGGATTGTAGGTGCGCACACCTGTAGTCAGGCACAAGCACCAACAGGACTCTGGGGAGGTGGCTTCAACCCTCCTCCAAAATGGGTTAATAACGCCCAGCCTGTCGAGTTCTGTGAGCACTCATGAGTTCATGGCTGTGGACGGGGTTAGCTGGCTGTAAAAGGCCACATAAATGTTAATCATTGCTATTAGGAAGCACTCGATAAATGCTTGTGGGAAATGAGGCACAGGGGCCCCTCCCTGGCTGCTCATTAACCTTCACTGTGCCAGCCAGACGCAGGCCCAGGGTCCTCTGCAGCCCCAGTGGGTACCCCATGTCCCTGAAGGCCTTACCCACTTACCCAGAAGCACAGAGGCCCAGGTCCACAGGGAACGGAGAGTGAGGCTGAGTCTGGGCCCCTGACAACTGGGGCATTTCATGCTGCCAACCTGCATTCCTTGCCTCAAGCAGGGCAGCAGGTGCCCATCTAGAAAGGCCACGGCCGGCCCCTCCCATCCCCCCTGTGCAAGCCAAAGGCAGCTCAAGATCTGATCCCCAGAAAAATCCCCACCAGGGTAGGACATGCGCGGTCCTGGGCTGAATCAAAATTGCCCCTTTCTGTAGATGTCAGCTGCTGAGGACGTCAGAACCAGGCTTCCAGAATAAAGGGCAGGAGAGGGCCTTGGGGACAAGAGGGTGTGGGAAATGAGGCTGAAGGAAGGAGAAGGGTCAGTGCCGCTGGTGCCATCCTGGGCCTGGGCATGATCGCACCAGGCCCTGTTCTCCCACTGCAGTCTCACCCACATGCCTCCGCAAGGTTAGGGAGAAGGCGTAGGCCAGGAGAGGAGCGCCCCGGTGTTTGCTCTGAATATGTGCCCGGGGAAGTCCGCCCGCCGGCCTGCCCTACCCACCCACCCGGATCACTCTCGCCTGGCTCATTGGCTCAGAAAGCCCCACCCCACTCAAAAGCGAGGAACAAAAGCTGCCTCCGGGAGGCCCTCAGGCAGACGGACAAGCCAGGGACAGGAGAGCAGCCACTGGACTCGAGAAGGGTGAGGACCTAACAGGGCAGGAGACAGGGCCAGGAAGATGGGGCCAGCAGGGCTTGAGGAAACCCCTGGGAGCTGGGGCTGGGGGCCAGAGTACAGGGGTGAGGGTCCCTGGAGAACCCCAGGGGAACTCCAAGGAGGGGAAGGAATACCCTGCCAGACCAAAGGGAGGCCAGAGGCCCGGGGAAGAGATGAAGAGGGGTCGGAAGGTGTGGGGCTTCGCTGCAGTTGAACCAACATGTATTGCGTGTTCACTGGGCCAGACCCAGAGCTGGGTCGTGGGGACAGATGAATGAGATGCAGTCTGACAAGAAAGACAGGTGAACGTGGCCTGCCGTGGAAGGGTGCTGGGCAGGTGTCCCAGGGGTTTGGTGCCTAACAAGGCTGAGTTAGAGACAGGAGAGGGCAGGCCCGTGGGATGGAATAGGATGAGACTCCAGATAAGAGGTGGTGGAKGTTGACAGACACAGAACACGGCCAGGAAGAGGAGAGCAGGAGAGGTAGCCAGCCAAGGCCGCCCAGCCGTCAGAGAAGGGGAGTCTCGGAGAAAGAAAAGCAATGGTGGGCTACACACCGTGCCAGGGTCCAGCCGGTGCCCATCCCTGGTCTTCCCTGGAGCTCAAACAGTTGGAATTCCAGAGGAACCCACTTGTGGTCGAGACCGTCAGTGTTCCGGCGCCAAGGCAGGGAGGTGGCAGGGATGATGCCAAGCCACCACAATTTCAAAGGGCTCTGTTGAGTGTAGGAGGGGATGTCTGGGAAGCTTCCTGGAGCCAAGGAGGAGGAGTGAGGATGGAGATTGTCCTGGGAGCTACGTAGGCGCAGATGCGGACATGCCCGGTGTGGGGCCTGGCACCTGTTGGCATTCAGTCAAAGCTGGATTCATCTGACAACCCTAAAGGATGCATCCTCACACCTCCTGCCTGGTCCAGCCTGGCCAGGGGTCCTTCAGGGGAGGGGGTCATTCATTCTCTTCGAAAGTCCTGGGGTAAGAGAGGCTGGCCGGCCTGTGGGGCAGCATGATTACTCTCACGTGTATTTATTACTTTGTAGAATAAAATAATCCCTGATTCCCCAACCTGAAGACAAAGGTTCAAGACCAGCTCTGCTACATCCAGCTGTGGGACCCAGGCAGGTGCCTCTGGGCTCACCTCCCTGTGACATGGGGGTGATGGCCATGCCTCCCCCTGCAAGTCCTTGTGAGTGAGGACACCATGACCCCGTGGTTGTGAACCGGTATTGTCCCCCGCATCGTACTCCAGGGTGCCCGTTTCCAGGTGTTCCCAGGCTCCCAAGACCTGAGTGGGTGGCACCTAGGTGTAGACCCGCCGGTGTGAGGCACCGAGGAAGCCATCAGCATGAACTGGACCTTCCTGCAAAGCCTCCTGAGCGGCGTGAACAAGTACTCCACGGCGCTGGGCCGCATCTGGCTGTCGGTGGTCTTCATCTTCCGCGTGCTGGTGTACGTGGTGGCSGCCGAGGAGGTGTGGGACGACGAGCAGAAGGACTTCGTCTGCAACACCAAGCAGCCCGGCTGCCCCAACGTCTGCTACGACGAGTTCTTCCCCGTGTCCCACGTGCGCCTCTGGGCCCTGCAGCTCATCCTGGTCACCTGTCCCTCGCTGCTCGTGGTCATGCACGTGGCCTACCGCGAGGAGCGCGAGCGGAGGCACCGCCTGAGACACGGGCCCGGGGCGGCGCCGCTGTACAGCAACCTGAGCAAGAAGCGCGGCGGGCTGTGGTGGACCTACCTGCTGAGCCTCATCTTCAAGGCCGCCGTGGACGCGGGCTTCCTGTACATCTTCCACCGCCTCTACCAGGATTATGACATGCCGCGCGTGGTGGCCTGCTCGGTGGATCCCTGCCCCCACACCGTGGACTGCTACATCTCCCGGCCCACGGAGAAGAAGGTCTTCACCTACTTCATGGTGGCCACCGCGGCCATCTGCATCCTSCTCAACCTCAGTGAGGTCACCTACCTGGTGAGCAAGAGGTGCATGGAGATCCTCGGCCCCCGGCGCCAGAAGTCTCGGCRCCGAAGTCGTCTACCCGACACGTGCCCACCATATGTGGTCTCCCAGGGAGGGCACCCCCAAGATGGGAACTCTGTCCTAATAAAGGCAGGGTTCACCCCAATAGATGCAGGTGGGTATCCATAACCTGCAAGATCAGCAGATAGGATCCCCAGATCCCCTGGCTGTCCCCTAAGGAAAATGGACCAAGGCAGTGACATCTTCTGTAGAGCAGGTAGGTGGCTGTGGGGGCTCAGGAAGCTCACCCAGGAGCCAGGATGCAGTGGAGGGGTACGGTTTTGGTGCCGGGGTCCCAGTGGGGATTTTGTATAAGACAACAGGTTACGTCAAACCTGTTAATAAACATGATTTTCCAAGTACTTGCAGCCCCAGTGAAGAGTGGTGGGTAAGGAAGTACGGGAATTCCCATGGACCTCAGAGAGGGGCCCCAGACGACTCAATGGTCCTCTGAGCCCCAGAACCTCAAATCCTCCTGTCACTCCCCACCCCACCCACTCACACACATTGTGCCACCAGAATGTGAAGGGGAATGCCCAAAGGCAGGGGCTACACCAGGGGCCTCATGACGCTGCCACCAGCTGACCAAGGCAGGAGAAGAGGGAGGCATGGGGACCCTGTGCCCACAGGAGCTCCTTCCCACGGAGTGTCCCTCAGATGAATGCAAAGCATGTGACTCCAGAGGCCTCCGCCTCCCAGGTCTGACCTCCCCAGCTCTGCCCAGTACGGGTCCCTGGTAGGGGAGTTCCTGAGGGTGGGAGTGAACCTGGAACAAGGGCAGAATGGAATTTCCCAGGCTGTCCAGGAGATGTGTCCCCAGGCGGGTCCTTGGATCGATGGCAGTTCCCTTCTTCTCACCCCCATGTACTGCCTGAGCAGCCTCATCCTCCCCCACCCCAGTCCGCAGGCCTCCATGATTCAGGACCATGCTTTCAGCCTGAACCTGCCCCTGAGTCCCACCAGTTGCCACTAAACAGCCCTCTAGGGGACCCACAGTCACCTCATACCCCCTGCAACTCCAAAGGGACCCCATCATCTTCCCCCAAACCTGCCTCCTCTCAAAGTCCCCACTCCACTCATGAAGGGCATTGCCATCCCCCCACCCCACTGTCCAAGCCGGGAGCTGTCCTGTCCTGCTGATCCCCCCAGCCTTCACACCTGCGTCCCAACACAGCACTCCCAGCTCCAAACAACCCCCAAATCTGTCCCCTTCCACCCCCAGCCTCACCCCCGCCTCTCAGGTCTGCCCTCCTCTCCAGGATGCAGTGATGGATCTCTTCATGAATCTGACCATGCCATTGTTCTCACTTTAAAAATCCTCCACCCCATCCCCGCATTGCCCTCAACCTGGTCCCGCAGCCCTCCACCTCGCCGGCTTCCTCTCTTCCCACCCACAATAATACGGAAGGCAGGTGGTTCCCGGGCCCACAGTCATGCTRTGGCAGGCCTCAGGCCTCTACCACGCTCCTCCCCTTCCGGCCTCCTCTGTGACCTGTCCTCAAACCCCAAGGACAGCCTCCCCACCTCCCCATGCGCCCGCCCGCCCAGGTGCTGCTCTCCTCTGCCCTTATCCCCGAATCGGGGTGGCCAGTTCCCCCCAGTGTCTCCCATCAGCCTGTGAACCCTTGAGGGCAGGATGCTGAGTCACCGGGTCCCTGCTGGCCTTCAATAAATGTTTGTTAAATGAGTAAATGAGCTGTGAGGTGCTTGGGGGAAGGACAGTGTGTCCTGTTTATCTGAACCTTCCACCACACCTAGCCCGGGAGGTCAGCAAAGTGGCTTCGTGTTTGATTGATTTGTTGTTTTACCTAAATCCAGCCTCAAAGTTTCATTTCTAGATGGGGAAACTTGGACCTAGAGAAGAGAGGGGTCCCTCCAGGCCCACTGGGTAGCCTCCATGCCCACCCGAATATGGGACAAAATCAGAGGTCACCCCCTCTCGAGTCAAGTTCCCAGAGGCAGAGCCAGAGGCAGGGATCTGGTGCAGGTGAAAGAAGCTGTAGGGAAGCCAGTCAGAGCTGAGGCTGAACTGGGCAGGAAGGGCACCAGCCCGCAGCCTGATCAGTGCGGTGAGGGGGATTTAGATCATAAATCTCACCATCAACTTGTCTCCCTCTGGAGGCCAGGACACTGGACTTGTGATAGCGGGATGGCCAGCTGAAAAGGGGGGCGGGGGGCTAGCTTTGGCACAGTTGAGGCTAATTCTCCAGGGTCTGCTATAACCCAGGAGCAGTTAATATTCACAGCAGCTGGGAAATGGGTGTCCTCCAGTAAAGGGGACATGGGCAGGGCACCATTTCCATCTATTGTTGCTGAAAGCTCCTGTCCCCGATGCCAATCCAATACCCAGGACACGGTTTTGAGAAAAAAGGATAAAGAAAGTTTGTTGCTTGGCTAGCAAAGGAGAAACACAGGGGACCCCTGTCCCAAAGGCTGTGATTCTGCCCATCAGCAGAAACAGGGGGCTTTTAAACAGTGACTCAAAGGCTACATTCCGCGTGTTCTCCGTCTGGAGTTGTAATTCGCTCGTGAATTTGGGAGACTGTCATTTCTGAGATCACTGGTACCATCCCCAAAGTGGGGATTACTTCATTCCTATGGTGGGTGTGTACTCAGGGCAGATAACGCTGTTTACATGGGGAAGAAAGGTAATCTCGGTTCCCCTGAGATGAGATTAGGGAGGAGCAGAGAGAGAGGAAGAGACAGAAACTCGTCCATTTTAAAAATCTGCTGCAGTGGCAGAGCAGCAAGGTTATATTCCAAGCGTAAAGTGGACACTGTGACAAGGGCACCACCTGTTAACTCCTGAGCCCAGGAGACAAAGGCAGCTTTTACCCCCAATTCAAACCAGAGCTGTGACCATCCAACCCAGGAGAGCAGGGCAGCACTCTTGWCCAAACCAGATGGCCACACACTGCTCAGACAAAACAGCTCCCAAGTCCAGGCCAGAGGCCCAGATGCAACCAACTCGCATGAGAGTTTAGGAGTCCATTCCAGGGGCTGCTGGGGGGTCCTGCCTATGGTGAGCTCATCTCCTCCATGGATGCTACTCCCCAGAGGTCTCAAGTCCTAAGCCACAAGCCAGGTGGAGGCAGAACACCGCCTGAGACTGGCCAGAAGCTTCCAAAGGGAGCTGAAACTCAACTTGTAGGCCACACTTCGGCCATCGGACTGTCTCATCCTCAACCTCACTCAGGATCTCAAGCCCTGCCCACGGCGCTCTCCGCCCCTCAGACTCTGATCCGCCCCCATCTTCATGAAGAATCCCCACTTGTTCCTGCTACTGCCATTTTTCTCCGCCACCCACTTTCCTGTGCCCTTAGCTACTATTTACTCCTGACCCACGGCCAAGGGTCTTCTGGTGTCTTCCTGTGATCTGGGACTGTGGTAACCCCCTGTGCATTACTCTGTCCTTTTCATTCTGTGGCCTCCTCTCCTTCCAGAACATTCAGCTGCCCACTCCCAGGACCACAACCCACTTCACCCTACCATCTTCCATTGGATTCGGGCCAACAAATCCTGATTGCTAACTTTYACCTCACAGTTCTGTGTTGAGTGATGGGAAGAATCCGACAGGACTCCTGGCCTCATGAAGCTTACATTCTAGAGAAGACGACAGCTGCCAATCTCATGGCTCACTGGCGGAAGCACAGGGCATTGGTGGAGAGAGAAAGGAGGCTCTAATAGCCRGGCATCCGGGAAAGGGCTCCCTGGGACCTCTTACACTGAAGGAGGTGGGATTCCAGAYGAGGGAACAGGGTATGCAAAGGAGAGCAAATCTGATGACAAAGATTGAAGGAAACCCAGATGGCTGTCAGTCGGGTGAGGGGCTGGAATCCGGGGTCGTGCAGGATCCTGCAAGTTTTGTTTATAAATCTCTGTTCGTGATATTTTTTGGACTTTAACCTAAAGACAATGACAGGCCCCGGAGAGATTTAGCAGGGAGAGGACATGATCCAATTTGCAGTGTCTCTGGTTACAACGTGGAGGCACAGAGGCAGGGCTACCTGTTTGGAACCTGATGCAATTGTCTGAGAGAGAAAAAACAAGGCCTGAACCAGGCAGGGCGTGTACGATGGGGATGGAAAGAAGTAGCTGGATTTAAGAAATGTTTATGGAGATAGAATCATAAAGATCGGGTGATTCCGTTGGGTGTGGGGATCAAGTCGAGGGAGGAATCWAAGTGACATCCAGGTTTCTGCCTCGGGGTGGTGGTGCCATTGACTGGAGTCGGGAGCCCCAGAGGAGGAGCAGGTTTGAGGAAGACGCCATGATTTCAGCTTCAAACACGTTGAGTCYGAGATTCAAAGGGAGGCATGGTTATTCCCTTCCATTCCTGGGCCATCWGAGCCGGGGCTGGTTGCCTTTCCAAGACTACATTGTTATCGTCCCTAGGGATCTCATGTCCATCAGGAAGTCCTCTCGGTTCCAGGAGAGATTAGACTTCCTCACTCCCACTCCACCCGTCCCACCCTCCCACGTGTATTCGCTCACACCCTAGACCTTGTCTGTACCAGGAGCGGCCTCATCTCCCGTCTGGCTAGCCCACCCAGCCTCGTTCCCACTCCAGCAGTCCTCCTGCCCACCCACTGACCTGCCGGTCACCCCCTCCACAGCCTCCCTCCCCTCCTGTCCAGCTCAGACACCACAGGCCCCCAGACAGCCATGAATCCCTAGCTCTCCTCCACTCCTTTGCCTTTRTGTGCTCCTCCTGTGCTCACAAAGACCTGGCAAGACCCTCTCCATGTGGCATTTCCATGTGGCATCACCATACAACCAGACTGACTGGTCTCAACTTAGACTTCTGACCWCAAAGCTCAAATGGACACTCGGCATCTCAAAGAAATCCTACATTTTTCTAAAACTTGAATCTGATTCTCCCAGATGACTATATATCCTACCTTCTCCTCTTTCCTCAAACTGCCTTCTCCCAATCTGCCATTCTAGCCGACAGACGGGGTCCTGTGTCTCTGGGGCACAGGAGCCATAGCTGAGTGCTAGCACAGTGCCTCACCTCCACAGCCACCATGCCACCTCACCGGCAACCATGCCTGTCTGCTATGCCTTCTGTGACAGGGACAAAGCATCCCTGCTCCTGTGACAACSCCTCCACCAGGTCGCCAGGCTCC